ATCAAAATCTTCTTGAGTTTAAACCACAACCCGGTTTTCTCAAGGTATTACACAATACAATATTTGAAAGCGTGTACAATATGTGTTTTCTATCAAAACAGTATCACACAAGTGATTTTTACACAAATGAAATTTGGTAAGTTGAAGGTGATGAAATTTCTCGTTTATAGTGCGCAGCAAAAAATCGTAAACAATTTCTCCTTCAAGTCTTATTTATATAGGCAATGCATGTGAGGAGCTTTTGGAATGTTGATAAATAGTAATTAAAGAACTTTCTAAACATAGAGATTCTTGTCCTCTTTCATCTATTACTTTTGAATAGTCATGAATGAAATGTAACGCTTCAGAGCATGCTTGCTAGAGATTACATCAGAAGTTGAATGTTTACCGTTGGGACTCCTTTACTTCTTTCCAGAACTGTATGAAACAGAATAGCATAGTTCTTGTTTGCAGTGTTTAGTGCACTCAGAAGTTGTGGCTTTAGAACTTCTTTATATAAGCGTGTTATAGAGGTTTTGATTTCTATATAAGATATGTTGAATCAGAGTTTAAACATGATCTACCTCATCTTCTGTGCTTCTTACATCAGAACTTCCCTACAAAACAAAATACTTATTTAGGGAGCATAATTGTTATTTTGAGTGTTTGTTATCATCAAAACTCTTACAAGGGTTAAAGAATCAAACTATGTTCTAACAAGCATATGTTCCAAAATCTGGAATCTAATAATGTTGGATACTATGCTTTAGAAGTATTCAAAAATAAAGTATAGAATGAATCAACAAAGGCTGAATCAGAAGAACTTTTAGAATTGTAAGAACAAGTTTCACGTTTGGATAATTTGAGGAAACACTTATGAAATTGGTCTCTTGAATAGAACTAATCTTCTGTGAAGAAGTACTTTAAGAAAATGAATGGAATCTGATGATACAAAAGGAACAAATTCAATCCTTCATAAATGATGATTGGAATCTGGCATCTAAGTCTAATGGGACTCAACTGAAGGTTCATAATTCAATGAATGAGAAAAGTGAAGAAATCAGAAATCTTAAAGATATCCCTTGCAGGTGAAGGTGTGAAACACAAGAAAGGGAGGTTTAAATTGGGTTTTTAAAAACAAAACTATTCTTTTAAAAATATTCCCCTTTAAGTTGAAAATTCTTTTTACCTCACTCTTGATAATAACATTAAGTAAGAACAATAAGTAAAGAACAATGTATGTTTATACTAGTTCACTTGAAAATTATCAAGCTAGTCTAGTCCACCCGACAGGTGATTTCGCCTCACTTCATAGATGACTTAATTCACTATAACCAAACTGATTATAATATGCACAAGCTACCCGCAAGTGACTAACAACCTCTATGACTCGCAAGCCCTAGACTTCTTAAGGATTCAGACCTACCCGGTCCCTTAAGGAATATCAAACAATAATCAACCTGATTATTACAATGCACAAGCTACCTGCAAGTGACTAGTAACTTTTAAAACTCGCAAGCTCTAAACTTCTTAAGAATATAGACCTACCTGGTCCCTTAAGGAAAATCAAACAATTGTTTGAATACAAGTTTTATTTACAAGAATGTTGCTTCTAAAAAGCTGAATATGTAAACTATTTTATGAACAGTGACTTAAGAATGTGAAAGCTATGAACAAATTTTGCGCGTGAATATTTAGTGAATTGGTGGCTTTCTCTCTTAGTATTCAAGCCTTTATATAGCCAATAAAATAATATATCCATTGAGGGATACTCTTGGGATTTCCAGAAACATTGGCAGCTTGAATAGTAACGTGGGGGACAAGATCGTGCGACGCGCCCGTCCTTTCATGGTAGTGGAATAAAATGTTTATTGTACCATGTACTTTTTGTACCAAGTTGATTTTATCTTCTTTCCTTATGAAACCCTTAAATATGCAATGTAAAATAATACTTAAAAGTAATGAAAATACAATGCGTTTTTGAAAAAAGATCTAGAGTTCGGGGGTTGGTTGTGCAATGGGAAGGTATTAGAACCCAGTGCATATGCAGTACTCCGCAGTAACCTTTTGTAATATCTGTTTCTAAAATTATTTGTTTGATTAAATATGGTTTGTTTGGTCAAAATGGGTGTGGACGAGATTTTGAAGATGTGACGACCTAATGTCGAAGTTTTGACTTAAAAGGTGTGAATTTTAAAATTGAGTCTTTTAGGAAAATTAACTTAAGTTTAGCAAAATAGTACAACAAAAATGAACGAAGGGGATCGCTCAATTGTAACAAATATATTTGATGACATGAAGTCAACAAAGTTAAAACATTTCCCTTGGATTTTAGACGGACGGAATATAAAGATTAAACGATCGAGAATAAAGTTAATTAGAGCGACAATAACAAAAATTCAATAAGAGATTAATTTATAAGCATGTATTTAAATAAACAAAAATTAAATAAAGATGATTTATTAGCATGTATTTGAATAATTAAATAAATAGCGAAAATTAAATAAAGACTAAATTATTTTAAAAAAAAACATGTATTTTGAATAATAACGAAAAATTAAATAAAAAATTAATAGCATGTTGACAAAAATTAAATAAAAGATTAATTTGAATTAAACATGTTTTTGGGTATTTTATGATGAAATAATTATGTGAATGAACTAAATTAATATTGTTATCATATATTAATGAAAATGGGAAATAATAGCTAAAAGAATCCAGAAAACAGAAAAATGGCCTAGTTGAGAGTTGAACCCGGGTCCTCTAGGTTATTGAAAACGTGCCTTGCCAACTGAACTGTATTATTTAACTGTTATTATTACATTTTTATTAAAACAAAAGGGAAAACAGATAGGAGGATTGGGCCAACAAGCCCAATGTGCTAACCCGGTTGGAATTGAACAAAAAAAATGTCCTTGGAACCCTAAACAATTTAGGCGCCGCGGCTCGTTGATCTAGAGAAGAGAAGACATATTTAATATATTATTCTCAATAAAAATTTGTTTTCCCAGATTTACCGCAACATCAAGATTCTCTCTTCCCATTAAATCTCCATCTCTCTCTCTCTCTCACTCTCTTCTCTCTATTATTTACCGTAAAAAAAACAAAATCAAACAGAATTCTCTCTCTAAATCAACTTCATCTTCCTCTTTCCCTTGTTTTCTTCGCATCACTGCATTGCGTGAGACTTCCTAAAACTTAATCCCAAGACAAAGAACTTGATTCCTCAATTGAGAGCACATATTTCTTATTTCTCCACAAAGTTAGGTTTAGATTTTGGCTGATTTTAGAAAGAAGAAGATAAATTATGTAATGATAGAGTCCGGATGTGGAAAGGAGGAAGGGGTTTGAAGGAAAGAGGTTGTGGATTCGTTGTTCGCGGTGGAAGTCGATGTTGGCCGCATCGGCACTCTATGGAAGGCGAAGAGGGAGAACGCGTGAAGAGAGAGAAGGGTGGACAGAGCAGACTCTTTTCGTGAAGTTGATGGCAATAGGAGGAAACAGATCAGAGAATTTCATGCATAAAAAGTGGTGATGATAACCGGTGGGATGTGGGCGATTGAAGGTTAAAAGTTTAAGATGGAAGCTGAAAACAAGAACGAAAAGAAAAAAATCAGGTACGGTATTCCGTTGATACTCTTTTGTGGTTCTTCCTCGTCTTGTCGTTTAGCTACGTTTCAGTGTTGAAATAATGATGAGGTTGAGTGTTGTTCTGATGTTGTTGTAGCAAAAGAAGGTTGTCTAAAAAAATCCTCTATGTGAATCAATGGTTGGTTTTTGTTCTGAATTTGTTTTGTGTGGTTGACAAGATTTAGGGTGTTTGGTTTGTCAAAGATGAGAGAAGAGGGAGAGTTTCAAAGCTGATGAACGATAGATAGAATGAGATTTGGTTATGCCCGAGAAAAAGTTTGTTACAGTTTTTCACAGTTGAAGATGACAGAGAGAAGTGAGAGTGAGGGAAACAAGGTGTTACGGTGGGGTATGTTGAAGGGTTGTAAGGAAGATGATGTTGTAGTAGCTGTGTTGTGGTTTGTGTGTGTTGTCTAGACCCGACGATGAAGTTGGAGTTTATTGGAATGTTATTGCCAAATTTAAAAGGTGAAATTAATATTATACTCAAAAGTTGGTGATGTATTTGTTTTATGACAGTAATTAGTAGTACTAGTTTTTGACAGGGTGTCACGGTAATTCAGGAAGTTAAAGAACGAATAAAAACGAAGATGGTTGGGACCTAGGTGAATTTTAAAGTCCATTGAATATGTAAGATCCAACTATCCAAGAGTTAAAGTAGTTATGGAAGAATGAAGAGTGGGAGCTTATCCCCAAAAAAAGTAGAGTGAGGGCAGGTGAGCTAGCGAATACGTTGGCTGGGTGATAATGGTGGTTTTTGAATTGTTATTTGTGTTTAACCGTATAGGATAAGTATATGAAAAGACTAAGAATGAATTTCGAATGCTATGAAGTTGTAACTGTTTTTTTCTTGTGTTTATTATTACTATTATTCTAACATTTTCTAAATGTCAACATGTTGCAGCAACTTAAAATATAGCAAAAAAAGTATGATGAAACAAGCATTAGCATAGCATAAAAGTGGTGTAAAGAGAAGATTCAAACATGTGAATGAGAAAGTTATGCAGAAGTAAATAAAGAGGAAGGAAAAAATACCTATCGAAGTCTCTCCGATGGAGCTTCCAAACAATAAGTTTTCCCTCTTTTATGTTTTGTTGATGCCTGATTCTTGCTGTGCTTCTTTGCTGTGACCCTTGAACAAGTTTCCCTTTTTTCTCTCCTTCTTGAATTTTTCTGTGTGTCTTTGAATTTTTCTGTTTTTCCCCTTGAATTTTCTGTTGTTCACTTGCTGAATTTTTTTGTGTCCTTAATTTTGTCCATGAAGAGGGTTTTTATAGTGAAAGAACAAAGCATTTAGGGGGGAAAACAGTAGAACATTTGAAATATTTTGAAAAACGGTTTTGATGCTTTGTTCATACAATTTCTTTAGCCATATTGATGCAAAATCTGGGCTATTTTGATGCAGGGTAGTAGGCTGTAGCAGACTGATTTACAGCAAATTTGTTTGCAATTTCATAGTTGTTTTGGCCTGTTTTGGACCATTGCAGGTTGCTGTTTTTTGGACTGATTTGCTGCATTTTTATAACAGTTTTAGGATTGTTTTGTAGGATGGTTTTACAGCAGATTTTGGGGTTGTTTTGCTGCATTTTTTGGGGCTGTTTTGCTGCATTTTACAAGGCTAGAAAGTGGGCAGCAACATGATATTGGGCTTGAATTTTAGGACATTATAAATAATAGTTTGTATAAACTTGTAATTCCTTGTAACTTTGTAGTGATAAATCCCAATAAAATTGTAACATCAATGGAAACTTGTCTTCAATATAATTCTCTCAATTCTTTTGTAAACACTTTGAATCTTTATGAACTTTGAATCTTGATATTCATCTTGATGAAATTCAAAATCTTCCATTTGAATTTGGAAAAGAATTGATTAATACTTGAATGGATTGTTGAATGATGAATAAGTAATAATGCAAGTCTTAAGACTTTAATCTTGAATTTTGTAATTGAGATCCAAATAAATTCCATGAATTGATCTTGTAATAAAATTGTAACCATCATGTATTTATTCTTGTGATGAATGATTATTTGAATCAAGTTTCCTTTTCCAATATCTTCTTGAATAAATGCTTCATGTGAATTCAAATGGCCATGATGTGAATCCATCAAAATAGTCACACAAAATAATCTTGAATAAATTCAATATGAGGAATAAGTATTCTTGAATGAGCCCTCTTGATAACTTCTATTTAAATAACACTTGAATTCACATGATGAAAATTCCAAGTATTTCGAATAAATTCTTCCGAAACGATCATGAATTTAATCACTCATCTCTAAAAAAATTCACCCCGCGTCAAGTAAATATAAGAAATTGAACCATGCTTAAAGGCTTTGAATAATCACTAGAAAATGGATTTGAGGCGAAATGTTATCACATTGAGAAATTGGCACAGTGAACTGAACTTAGAGATTCAGAAACTCTTAAATCATGACAGATGTCCCATAAAGGCCTATCATGGATTTCTAAACACAATTTTTCTTCAACTTTTAAAGAAAAATTGGAGATGATTTTTGGTCAAAGCATTTGGAATTGACTTGCATAGCTCGATCCTTTCATGTATTTCAAGGCAAGACGTAACACACGTAAACCGATGGTCATGGAACTTTGAATGTTCTTTTTTTGAAGAAATTTGGAGAAGCTTGAGGCTATCTTTTGGACAGAGCATGGAAATAAACACACGATTCTCTTGATGAATCAGTCTTCAAGAATCAATGATCAACTATACTTCTGGCTTGAGAGACTCAAAACCCTAATTGAGGCATGGCGCCTGATGCTCCTGATTCGAACCTGTTTCTGCACATGAAATCAAAGGGAAAAAAAACATACACTTCGTGCTTGATTAGAGGTTAGCCAAACATAAGATAAAATGCTCATAACACTCGATATTCTTAGCACAAGTAATGCTCGAAAGTGAAACGTTCGAAATTGACCATATTTCGTGACCTTGATGTATATAAAAATGCAAATGAAGATGGGATATTAGGTCAAAAATTGGGGTATGACAGCTTCCCTTATTTAAGTTTCTTCTATCCGGAGATATGAAGATTGAAGTCTTTGTCTCGACGAGATTGAAGGTACTTAAATACATAATACGCAATTTTTGGCCCTAAGATACCGCCATTGTGTTTATGATATGAATGTAATATTTGAATCTTATGGAGAATGTTGCCACATGAGACAAACTAATGTTGGAGAAACCAAGCACATGATAAAATAATCCACAGGGGAAGAGGTTATAACTCTAATGGAGAAACAGAGCCATAGACTTCGAATGAGAGACTCTTATCGGGGAATAACTTTGAGAGAAAGCAATTTTCTGACTCTAACAAAGAAAACACCTTGCATAGGCTACGAAAAATAGATGGTTACTAACCCAAGATGATGATGAGCTTACAACTCAAGGTCAAAGGTAAACAAAAATATGCACTAACTTTTACTGATAGTGAACTTCCAATTTTACTGAAGGTATAGATTTCATAACAAACTTCTCTACGGGACTTTTCCAGAGAGATACCATTTGCTGCTGAAATAACATATTATCATGGATACACAAGCTGCTCAAATAAAGAGGTCGCCACTTGCTGTCTTCAAAGGATATTAATAGTAGACAAGCTGCTCATGAAGAGTCCTCCACTTGCTACTTCAAAGGATATCAATAGTAGACATGCTGCTCATGAAGAGTCTGCCACTTGCTACTTCAAAGGATATCAATAACATGCAAGCTGCTCATGAAGAAACTACCACTTGTTGTCTTCAAAGGATATTAATAACACACAAGCGGCTCATGAAGAGACCGTCGCTTGCTGTCTTCAAAGGCTATTAATAAACACGCAAGCTTCTCATGAAGAGACTGCCACTTGTTGTCTTCCAAGGATATTAATAAACACACAAGTTTCTCATTAAGAGACCACTGCTTGTTGTCTTCCAAGGATATTAACAAACACACAAGTTGCTCGTGAAGAGATTGTTGCTTGTTATCTTCCAAAGATATCTATAACATACAAGCTGCTCATGAAGATACCGCTGCTTGTAGTCTTCCAAAGATATCTATAACATACAAGCTACTCATAAAGAGACCGCCACTTGTTGTTTTCTAAAGATTTCCATAACATACAAGCTTCTCATGAAGAGATCGTCGCTTACTGTCACGTCGATATTCCAGAAGAATGTTGTGATAACACTACTAGGGAATAAAGTTCTTCTTCAAAGGGAACCATGAATATGTGCTTCTTGATGAGACCAAGTATTTAAATGCGCAAAATGAATGCGCTCTTCATCTAGATTTCACAGCCTAGAGAAAACCACAGGGTAGCCTATGCAAGAGACAAAGCTCAATCCAGGAAGAAACCGGAGAGAAAACAATCAAACAAGACTCCATCCAATGAGGAAACAACTCAATTGGGGATTCATCCTATCTAGAGACAGAAAAGGAAGGCTAAAGAAAAATTCTTCCACAAGGATTAGCTCAGTTAGGGAATTAGAAAGGAGGCACAATTTCTTCCTAAGTTGACATTCTATTTGGAAAGATAAAATACGTTGTTCGAATAGACATAACCAAGGTATATGAACCCAATAACATCGACAAATGTGAATGTGCATGCATGATGCAAGTATAGATGCCATGTATATGCTGACAAAACAGATAGAGAAGATAAATGAAAAATGATAAAACATCATAAAACAAATAGATACTCGGTCAATCTCAAAGAGATGGGAAAATAACTGAAGATATAACAAAAAGCATCATCGAAGTGTATCCCACTACAAGGCTCAAGTCTCTCTGGGGAGGAAGATATTTAAATTTAAATTTTCCAACATTAATAAACCACTGACATGATAACAAAATGTACTTTACTTTGGTTAGGGAGAAAAATCTTGCTCAACTGAATCAAATCTTAATTGGGATTGTTGGGAGTCACCAAGTTTAGTACTCTACTGGAAACACAGGGTCATACAACCAACACCTCAAGATGATTTTGAAAGAAGAAGCCATATTCATCATGCAAGGATGAATTACTATGTTATTTTGCATTTCAAGGCTTAACCTTTCTCGGAACAACTGTTAATATTCCTTCCAGTATTCGTGACACATTTCAATATAGGAATACTCTAATTAACTTTGTTTTAAATATTGCTATAAAAACTGAAATTTTGCCCAATAAAAAACACAACAAAGACAAATACTCAAATTTTATTAATAAGATGGTAGCCGCTAATGGCGCGACTCCAAAGGTTTACAAAAATTTGGAAAATAGTACATGAAAGAAAAGGTTACAAAAAAAATGACCACATTCTCCCTAACAACTTGGAATTTCCAAAATGCGCTTAAATTTGTCGTGATTGGTCTAATCAAAATCCTGCTTAAGTCAACCCTTCGGGTTTTCAACTTAGCGAGCTGTCATCTCAATCTAGGAAAAATACTTCTTGATTGTCAGTTTTCACAGAGCGCGTGAGCTCCTCACCGTCCATATTTGTAAGAATCATGGCACCTCCAGAGAAAACCTTCTTAGTAACATACAGTTCTTCATAATTCGGAGCCCATTTTCCCCTAGAATCAGGTTGGAAAGATAATATGTTCTTGAGCACGAGGTCACCTTCTCTGAATTCGCATGGCCGAACCTTCTTATAAAATGCCTTCTTCATTCTCTGCTGATATAGCTGGTCGTGACATAACACTGTCATTCTCTTTTCTTCAATTAAATTCGACTGATCATATCTACTTTGACACCATTCAGCCTCAGAAAGCTTAGCTTTCATCAAAACTCTCATAGACGGGATCTCAACCTCCACGGGGAGTACTGCTTCCATGCCATATACTAGAGAAAATGTAGTTGCACATGTTGAAGTTCAAACTGAAGTATGGTATCCATGTAGAGAAAACGGGAGCATCTCATGCCAATCTTTGTAAGTTTCCACCATCTTCTGGATAATCTTCTTGATGTTTTTATTAGCAGCTTCAACAGCCCCATTCATCTTTGGTCTATAGGGAGAAGAATTATGATGTTTGATCTTGAATTCTTCACAAAGATCTCTCATCATCTTGTTATTCAAATTCGAACCATTATCAGTGATGATCTTTCTCGGGATGTCGTATCGACAAATGATCTGATTCTTGATAAATTTAACTACCACCTGTCTGGTTACATTAGCATATGATGCTGCTTCCACCCATTTAGTAAAGTAGTCAATGGCTACTAAGATGAAATGATGACCATTTGAAGCCTTGGGTTCGATCATTCCAATCATATCGATGCCCCACATAGAGAAAGGCCAAGGTGAAGAGATAACATTGAGGAGGGTCGGTGGCACATGTATCTTGTCCACGTAAATTTAGCACTTATGGCATTTCTTCACATATTTGCAGCAATCAGATTCCATTATCATCCAATAGTAACCAGCCCTCAACATCTTTTTAGCCACTGAATATCCATTGGCATGAGTGCCAAAGGATCCTTCGTGTACTTCTTGCATCAACATGCCTGCTTCGTGTCTATCCATGCACCTGAGCAAAACCATGTCATGAATCCTCTTATATAATACTTCTTCATTGAGGAAGAAACTACTTGCCAACCTCCTCAACGT